TGTGTGTGTCTGTGTGTGTGTCTGTGTGTCTGTGTGTGTGTGTGTGTGTGTGTGTGTCTGTGTGTGTGTGTCTGTGTGTGTGTGTGTGTGTGTGTGTCTGTGTGTGTCTGTGTGTGTCTCTGTGTGTCTCTGTGTGTCTGTGTGTGTCTCTGTGTGTCTGTGTGTGTCTGTGTGTGTCTGTGTGTCTCCGTGTGTCTGTGTGTCTCCGTGTGTCTGTGTGTCTCCGTGTGTCTGTGTGTCTCCGTGTGTCTGTGTGTCTGTGTGTCTGTGTGTCTGTGTGTGTGTGTAAACTGTAACTGTACACCACGCGTTTACCGTGTATTCGCGAGGCGGAAATATCAGCATGAAGTACACGCAGGATTTAAGCAGGCAATCACCATTCCAAATAATTTCAAAATACAACGGAGGATATGCTCTTCGCGATGAAGCCTTACAGGATTGCTGATGTGTTTCAACACATTTGCGTGCTGATGAAATAAGTCATGTTTTATGAGTTAAATAGTGAAATCCACATGGAATGCTTGTCGAGTGATGCTATAGCCTGGCAGTGTCGCCAAGATGTGACAGAGAGTCAGAGTTAGACTTAGAGCGAGAAATTGCGGCCACAGGGATAGATGTAGCCAAAGACGGGTGGCAACCCCCACCCAGAACAGAAATCTAGGTTCTGGATGCTAGAACGTGTTGCTTTGACATTGGGGGCCTTTCTAAGGCAGAGTCAACGACGGCTCGGGCGTTTTCAGCACGCACAACCAGGTCTTCGAGCGCACCTCGCTCTTCCCCATCGTGCAAAAGATAGCGCAGCTCAAGCAACAGAAGAAGCCGGCTGTGATCAAGGAGACTCTGAAGGCATGAAACTGAGTCTGAGGCAACAAAAAGAAAACTTGAGAACCCTTGACCGAGGAGACAAGGAGATCTCTCGTAGAAGCCTCGGGACCCTCCAACGTTAACGCGTCATTTGCCCACATGTTTGAAATCTTCTCAAAGGCGTAGCCGGCAGTGCTCGAAGCTCGAAGCGCTAAGCTCATCTATGCAGCCGCCGAAGCCTTGGCTGAGGTGCTGGAGAACAAGTACTGGGGGATCCGGGGTGGTTACGATGTGACGTTGGTCTTGATCTATTTGGAGACGGTCAAGGACTTCGAGGGCCAGCTGCCTCAGGAGACGCGCCAAGAGATTGCCCGAGGAAGCGAGGGCGCCTTTGCCAACTTTCCCATCTACGCAACGACCACCCAAAACGGCGTGGACGCTCTAGATCTCACAGCTGCGCAAGTAAACCTCCTTGCAGCACAGGGCGAGTATTCAGTCATGCAAAACGAAGACTTGATGAGGCAGCTCGTGGCCTCGGCGAGGAAGTAGTACCTGTACCCCCATGTACAGAACGTATAGCGAACGGATAGCTACCTTGCACAGTGAGTTGGTTTCGGACATAGTGTTGCACAGGGCCCAAGAAGCTTGCAGGCAGGAGCCAGAGAGTGCCCCGCAGTGCTTCACGTGCCGGATTCGGCACGTTTTTGCAACAACTCAGAGCCTGGATAGTTCACCGACTCGAGCACAGCTGTTGCAGTGCTGGGCATCCCGGAAATATTCCGGCAAACCGGAACATGGAAGGGGACCTGTTGCCCGACGGTTTCTTCTGTCGAAATTAGAAAACTGGATCTTTCACCTCCGACAGTCTCTGAAAATTTATAGAGGCTATGTCCATGCAAATGCTGTCAAGTCTCTGTGGTACACTCAGCGTCATTGCGTGTCCTCGTAGTGCTCTTCAGACAAAGTCGGAAGCAATGTCCAAATGCGCGAAAAAGGGCGAGAGACGCAGCAGATCAGCAGATCCTCGCACGCTGCCCTGCAGAAGCAATGCTGCTGGCGAGGTGTCGGCGTCCATTTGTGGTGAGAGGACGCGGTAGCAGAGATGCCTTTGCTGATTTAGCTCTCTTGTTGTGAGTCTTTCTGCCAATTATGCTCAACCTCTCAGCCTCAGGCTCGTCAATTCCTGCCAAACTGCTCCCCCGAAACAGAAGGCCCCCCCAAACAGAAGCTCCCCCCCCCTCCCCACAAAGCTGCCTCTCAAAAAGAAGGTGCCTCTCTGTTTCTTTTTTTTGCAGACTTCGAGAGAGGGGAGATTTCCCTTCAGAGGCGCGCGCCGGGGCAGCCGGGCCCCGAGAGCAGCAGCTCCCGGCGCCAGCTCTCTGGTTCCGCTCTCGGCCCCCCTGCTCCTCCGCACATATGAGTTCCTCTTAATCTCCCAATTTTGAAGAGGGCTGTAAAACACAGCCCCACTCCGGCAGCCCGGCAGACCCAGCACCGAACACGTCACCCTCAAGCCGAAACAAAAAGCCCAAGACACATGAGGCCTCCGCGCTTGCGGAGCAGACGACGCTCAAAGCTGGGCCGACATGCGCTGCAGCTATGATCTCAATTGAGTGCATTCCCTCCCCCCCAATATGAAGGCAACTGAAGTTCCTGAGAGCAGCGACCCTGAGGAGTGGTTTGGGGGCCTTCTCTAGCGCTCCGGGGCTCGAAACACCGAAACACCCCAACCACCCAGTGGGAACTCGCCGACGCTGCCAGGTCGACGGGCCTTGTGAGTCTGGAACGGTGGAAGGGCAACCAGGCGGGTTGGGCCTCAGCCAAGCAGCTGCAGAACGGGCTTTGGGAGGGGGCCAAATTTGTGGGCACTACACGCGGCTCAAGGCATTTGCCAAGAATTTGCCGTCGGCATCCTTTTGGGACATGACGGCAAGAATGCGGCCTTTTTTTCAGGGGAGAGTCCACACCAGGAGCAAAGAACAGAGAGTGGATGTGGACATCCCACTTCCACGAGAGGATCGGCCTTCACGGAACGGGCCGGGCTTTTCCAGCCCGATCTCCGCACGAGATTCCGGCTCCAGGATGGGCACTGGCGAAGCCATTACTCCCACAAACGTCACAAACGTCACAAGGTTTCTCCGATCAGCTCAGGCCCCAGATCTCCCCAAAAGATCAGCCAATGGCAGGCTGGATACCAACGAGGAACTCGTGTTGAAGATGGACAGTGTCACACAGGTGAACTCTGAAGATGGCAGGTTCCCGACATCTGCATCCCTGCAAGATGCCCTGCTCGGGCCTGCGCTCCATGGCGGGGGCACGCCGAAGGCTACGGCGACTGCGTCCAGCATGGCCTTTGACGAGTCCATTGCAGAGGAGCGCGTGGGATCCAACGGCGCGACAGCCCAGCAGCTGTCTGGCACAGAAGTTGAGCTGGATGATCTTCCCGACTATCCTCTGATGTCTTCTATCACTGAGGAGAGTCCCCCTGTGTCGCGGCAGCCGTCCCGCCAAGGTGCCGTGTCCCCCGGCCCCGGCAGCAACATGGGCAGAACGCCATCACGCAGGTCAAACCCTCCGGTGGCCACACGCCCGGCAAGCAGCGCATCACCCAAGAAGAAGACTTCGACCATGAACGACATGGATTCAGTGGTCCGCATGCCCAGCCGCGAGTCAGGACTACGCCCCCCGGCTGGATCGAAGAAGAGAGCCACGACCATGAACATGGACGACAAAACCTCCGAAGCTGAGCCAGCTGCAAGTGGAATCAATGCCCGGCCGTCTTCAAGAGCGGCTCAGACACCGAGCAAGAAGAAGGCAACGAGCATCTGCAACTTGCCAGGAGATGACCAGGCGCAGCAACAAGGCGAAGCTGAGATGCCAGTTACGAGTGGCCGGCAGCCTTCAAAAACAGCTCAGAAGCCGATCAAGCAGAAGGCGGCGACCATTTCTAGCATGCCAGGTGGAGATGACCCGCCTTCTCCCCGTGCTCGGCGCCTCTCGCTTATTCCGGCAGCACAGCTTGAGCGCCAGCTTTCTTTCGCCGAGGACTCCTTGGATGAGGTGTCTGCAAGCATCCGTGAAGAGGAGCCTGAATTGGACTGGCTAGAAGATTTCTGGAATCGCGTTCTCGTGGGATCACCAACTGCCGAGTGCAGGGGGCTCTCCACACGTTCCATCAGCTACTGGATTGGCATTTTCAACCGCTGGCAAGCTTTGGGTTCATGGAAGCCTGGTCAAGCCCCCAAGGTCCTGGATGCATATGAGCTACAGGAGTTGCTCTCCATCCCCATGCAGAAGACACTGGAATGGGTAAAGCTCTTCGATCCCCAAGCGTATACCCAGCTGCAGGCCACCAGGTCCGCGATGGACCACAAGAAGGTGAAGATCTTGGTTCCGGCGTTTCTGACCTGTGGCATTTTCCTCTCGACCACAATCTCCAAGAAACAGAAGATCCGATTCCTGCTGGGAATGTTTGATGAAGACGACAGCCAGTCCATTGAATCGCCTGAGTTTGTGGAGATGATCTCCTCGTTCTTCTGCGGCATCGCCTGTGCTTTCGGACTGCTAGACTACCCGCACGTGGTCCCGAAGCCGAGCCTGCGCCAAAAGCTCGGGAAGCATCTCTTCGACCGACTGCTGGCGAGCACCTGCTGTAAGCTATCCTTTTGGGAGGCCAAAAAGGTCGTATCAAGTGGATCTGTACCGTTCTGGATCATTGAAGAGTGGTTTCAGGGTGACAGTGGTGACCCACTTTTCGCTCCATTCGCAATGTTCCTGGAGCGATTTTCGGCGCGCGGCTTTGAAGATGATCCTGAGTTCTTCGAGGATGAGGAGAGAAAGTTCAAGTTGTGCCACACGAGCCCAGTAGAGCCACCCTTGGATACGGCAGCCGCTTTGGATTCCAGCTTCCTCCGCCGAGACCAGATAGGCACTGTGCGGGATGTCTTCAACGAGTGCCAGAAACAGCTCGACTTCTCGCACGCGCACGCGGACATCGAGCGCGCGCTGGGCGCGACCGTCCCTCCAGACCTGTGGTGCAACCACCTGGCACGAGGCTTAGAAGAAATGGAGCGCACGCGGCAGCTTGGCCAGAAACCCTCATTGGCACTTTTCCTCAAGAAGATTTGTCCGAATGCAAAGCCTCGGCACCTTCGGATGTTCCAGTTCTGGATGAAGGAGTTGGACCACATCGAAGAGCTCAAGGTGCAATCTGCAAGCTCCCGTCGGATGCTGCAAAGCTTCGAAAGATTCATCGCCCGGCCAGTCTTACCAGCACGAATTCGACAAGAACTGTCGGAAGAATACTCGCACCTTGACAGCAGCGGCCGCGAGGCCCGCGTGATGGCCGACGTGCTGCGGAAGAAGTTCTTTGCAAGGGGTTCCAGCGTGAGCAAGGACGATTACATCGCTGCGATGTGCCCAATCGACTTCCGCCCGAAGGAAGGCAACCCGGCCACCGATCAAGCTGTAAGCCAGCTGCTGCGAATGTATGTGGTGCGAGTGGAGGAAAACCTCGCGCAGAAGGAGGCTCTTTTTGCAAAGAGCAGTCACGCAGGCGCCGTGAGTCCGAGGAAAAGGTTCATCAAGCCTGCCGTTCCAGAGCGCCAGTGGGCCTTGTGGAACAATGCTTTTGATGCATTCAGCCCCAGTGAGACTGGGACAGGACGTGTCTCCATATCGGGCCTTGTCCACCAACATGACATATGTCCTGCAGTTTGCGACTTCATGTGCAACATCATTGCGCGGGGCTCAACCGAGGCCCATGAGCCTGGGTTTTCCAAAGAAGTCTTTCTCCAAAAAATGCTTGAGCTCAGCTCTTGGCGAGTGAGGAAGGAAAATCTGAGCCAGGGTAGACTCTGTGCAGTGTAGGGCTTGCACAGTTTTTGCGAGTGTACCCGCATGTGTTTTTCACGGCAGAGAAGGGGATGGAGGCCAGGGCGGTTCAGGATGCATTACGGGGGGCATAGAAAATATATTGGAAGGTTTGTAACCTAAAGAAGAGTACACTCACATGCAACGTGTGGCCAGATCGCCTGGAGTGATCTCCTCATCTCCTCCCTGCTGTTCTGGAATTATTCTCCCACGGGGATGGCCCCAAAGCTGTTGACAGAGGCTTTATCAGCTTCTCCTCTCTCTGACCTAAGAAGAGGACCTGGGGCCCTGTCATGAAAGTGCCATCCGAAGCATTAGATGCTGCACTGGCACGGCGGCAGTACGCGGCAGTTGTCAATGTTCTACCTACTCCGTGTTGGGCATCTTAATTCGGAAGGTCACAAGGCTAACAGGCAAGCACGTCATCTACCTGCCACTTGCCTCTGTTGTCACGCGCGCGTCCGATATGCTGGCTGCTCCCCGCCTTTTTTGATTTCTGCGCGCCAAAAGCCGCTTTAGCTTGTTTAGCCGAGTCTAGCCAGGAAGAGGGTGAGACAACGCGCGTCATTCAGCGTTTACAAGCTTGAGTTCTGGAACTTACATGCTACACCCGGCGCTTTCTGTGCTTGAACCAAAACGGTTCACAAACTTGTAGCTGCAGATGGGGCGCCCTTTGCAAGACCCATGTACATTCGCCGAATGGCAGAGAAGCGAGTCTTGCCAGGGGGAGCCGTGCAGCTGGAGCAAGGCTTTGGTTTTTTGGGACCGACAAATCTCATGGAAGGAGCTGAAAAGAGTTTGGATCGGATGCTTGATGTCTCTTATGCGATCATTTTTGTCTGTGCTTGTGTGCTTTTGTTTGTTTTGTGTGTGGGGCGTATGGTGTGTGAGCTTGTGTCTGCGTGCAGCCGTGTGTTGGTGTCTGCGTGCATGTTTGAAGACTGCGACTGCGCTGTCTTAACTGCCAAGTAGGATCAAGTGTATGCTTCCGGGAGTCAGGTTGAGGCAACTTCAAGCATTTGTGCTGGCCTCAGCTGCAACGCTTTTTATCTGGGGTGATGGAGGAGGCGGAATCTGGGTGCTTTCCGCAACTTCACATTCACAATTGCATCGAAACATGCGATTCGATGCAGTCTTGTGCTTGACAGAAGCATCTCTGCACCAGAAGCGGAGTGACTTTGCTCGTCGGGCCGGATTTCATAGCCGCCACTTGCAGACCAGCTTTCCCAAAGCCCCGAATCTCACCCCATCAGGCAAAACCCGCCTACAACGCTGCCCAACAGTAGCCTGAAGCCCAAGAGCTCCCAAGGTGCACGCGTGCTGAGGGGGAACGTGGATCGAGAAGGCCTCAAGTTGAAAGGTTTCATCCTGGTGGAGTCAAGGTGTTTAACCATCGCCAGGGTTCTTTGCGCTGACGTTGCTGCCGTACAGGGAGCCTTCCCGGAACAGCCGTGAAGGTTTCAGCGCGGCCGAGTCCTGCCCAAACTCTGTCATAAGCACGCGAAGCGAGTGGGCATCATCGGCACCAGCATGGGCATGCGCATCATGGGCATCAGCAGGCACGGCCTTCCGTTGCGATTATCATGGCCATCCGTGGGGCACGCGGGCGGGGCCTTTCCAGCAGGCGGGCCCATGAGCATCGGGGGAGAAGAGGTGGGCAGGCATAAGCAGGGTGAGGACCCTGGGAATTTGGCCACTTGATCATTTGCTCGCATGCTCACGGTAAACTTGATAGAGAACATCATGTTACATCTTTGGCATCTCTTTTACTATCCTCAACCCTTTCATTCTCCAATGAGATTCTGCGGGGTCCAACGAAGCATATCGTATGCGCGCCAGGAGGCCCATGATCACAAATGCCAATTTGAATGCGTTTTTGCTCACCAAAGTGGAACGAGAAGACAACCATTCAAAGACAAGACTTGCGGCGGTGAATTGGTTGATAAGGAATTGAGCGAATAAAATACAGGAACGAACACCTCAAACGAGTGAGAAACGACCATTATCTTCGCTCTTTCCTTGCGGCTGAGAAGAAGACTCAAAGCCAGTTGGTTTTGCGGCGTGTCTCTCGTGATCTCCTCCTTCCCCAAGTAGGCCACCGTTTCGGCACGATGCTGCGATAGCCTGTGGCGAGGAGGTGTTCATGTGGACGTCGAGGCTTCAGCCCGAGCCCACTGCAAAGACCCCGTTGTCAACATTCCTCAAAGCATGATGGGAATGGAGGAGGGACGAAGGAAGACTCCTTTAAAACAATTGGGGTCTCTTTGAGCTGGACCCTGAGGAGTGGTTTGGGGGCCTTCTCTAGCGCTCCGGGCTCGAAACACCGAAACACCCCAACCACCCAGTGGGAACTCGCCGACGCTGCCAGGTCGACGGGCCTTGTGAGTCTGGAACGGTGGAAGGGCAACCAGGCGGGTTGGGCCTCAGCCAAGCAGCTGCAGAACGGGCTTTGGGAGGGGGCCAAATTTGTGGGCACTACACGCGGCTCAAGGCATTTGCCAAGAATTTGCCGTCGGCATCCTTTTGGGACATGACGGCAAGAATGCGGCCTTTTTTTCAGGGGAGAGTCCACACCAGGAGCAAAGAACAGAGAGTGGATGTGGACATCCCACTTCCACGAGAGGATCGGCCTTCACGGAACGGGCCGGGCTTTTCCAGCCCGATCTCCGCACGAGATTCCGGCTCCAGGATGGGCACTGGCGAAGCCATTACTCCCACTAACGTCACAAACGTCACAAGTTTTCTCCGATCAGCTCAGGCCCCAGATCTCCCCAAAAGATCAGCCAATGGCAGGCTGGATACCAACGAGGAACTCGTGTTGAAGATGGACAGTGTCACACAGGTGAACTCTGAAGATGGCAGGTTCCCGACATCTGCATCCCTGCAAGATGCCCTGCTCGGGCCTGCGCTCCATGGCGGGGGCACGCCGAAGGCTACGGCGACTGCGTCCAGCATGGCCTTTGACGAGTCCATTGCAGAGGAGCGCGTGGGATCCAACGGCGCGACAGCCCAGCAGCTGTCTGGCACAGAAGTTGAGCTGGATGATCTTCCCGACTATCCTCTGATGTCTTCTATCACTGAGGAGAGTCCCCCTGTGTCGCGGCAGCCGTCCCGCCAAGGTGCCGTGTCCCCCGGCCCCGGCAGCAACATGGGCAGAACGCCATCACGCAGGTCAAACCCTCCGGTGGCCACACGCCCGGCAAGCAGCGCATCACCCAAGAAGAAGACTTCGACCATGAACGACATGGATTCAGTGGTCCGCATGCCCAGCCGCGAGTCAGGACTACGCCCCCCGGCTGGATCGAAGAAGAGAGCCACGACCATGAACATGGACGACAAAACCTCCGAAGCTGAGCCAGCTGCAAGTGGAATCAATGCCCGGCCGTCTTCAAGAGCGGCTCAGACACCGAGCAAGAAGAAGGCAACGAGCATCTGCAACTTGCCAGGAGATGACCAGGCGCAGCAACAAGGCGAAGCTGAGATGCCAGTTACGAGTGGCCAGCCTTCAAAAACAGCTCAGAAGAAGATCAAGCAGAAGGCGGCGACCATTTCTAGCATGCCAGGTGGAGATGACCCGCCTTCTCCCCGTGCTCGGCGCCTCTCGCTTATTCCGGCAGCACAGCTCGAGCGCCAGCTTTCTTTCGCCGAGGACTCCTTGGATGAGGTGTCTGCAAGCATCCGTGAAGAGGAGCCTGAATTGGACTGGCTAGAAGATTTCTGGAATCGCGTTCTCGTGGGATCACCAACTGCCGAGTGCAGGGGGCTCTCCACACGTTCCATCAGCTACTGGATTGGCATTTTCAACCGCTGGCAAGCTTTGGGTTCATGGAAGCCTGGTCAAGCCCCCAAGGTCCTGGATGCATATGAGCTACAGGAGTTGCTCTCCATCCCCATGCAGAAGACACTGGAATGGGTAAAGCTCTTCGATCCCCAAGCGTATACCCAGCTGCAGGCCACCAGGTCCGCGATGGACCACAAGAAGGTGAAGATCTTGGTTCCGGCGTTTCTGACCTGTGGCATTTTCCTCTCGACCACAATCTCCAAGAAACAGAAGATCCGATTCCTGCTGGGAATGTTTGATGAAGACGACAGCCAGTCCATTGAATCGCCTGAGTTTGTGGAGATGATCTCCTCGTTCTTCTGCGGCATCGCCTGTGCTTTCGGACTGCTAGACTACCCGCACGTGGTCCCGAAGCCGAGCCTGCGCCAAAAGCTCGGGAAGCATCTCTTCGACCGACTGCTGGCGAGCACCTGCTGTAAGCTATCCTTTTGGGAGGCCAAAAAGGTCGTATCAAGTGGATCTGTACCGTTCTGGATCATTGAAGAGTGGTTTCAGGGTGACAGTGGTGACCCACTTTTCGCTCCGTTCGCAATGTTCCTGGAGCGATTTTCGGCGCGCGGCTTTGAAGATGATCCTGAGTTCTTCGAGGATGAGGAGAGAAAGTTCAAGTTGTGCCACACGAGCCCAGTAGAGCCACCCTTGGATACGGCAGCCGCTTTGGATTCCAGCTTCCTCCGCCGAGACCAGATAGGCACTGTGCGGGATGTCTTCAACGAGTGCCAGAAACAGCTCGACTTCTCGCACACGCACGCGGACATCGAGCGCGCGCTGGGCGCGACCGTCCCTCCAGACCTGTGGTGCAACCACCTGGCACGAGGCTTAGAAGAAATGGAGCGCACGCGGCAGCTTGGCCAGAAACCCTCATTGGCACTTTTCCTCAAGAAGATTTGTCCGAATGCAAAGCCTCGGCACCTTCGGATGTTCCAGTTCTGGATGAAGGAGTTGGACCACATCGAAGAGCTCAAGGTGCAATCTGCAAGCTCCCGTCGGATGCTGCAAAGCTTCGAAAGATTCATCGCCCAGCCAGTCTTACCAGCACGAATTCGACAAGAACTGTCGGAAGAATACTCGCACCTTGACAGCAGCGGCCGCGAGGCCCGCGTGATGGCCGACGTGCTGCGGAAGAAGTTCTTTGCAAGGGGTTCCAGCGTGAGCAAGGACGATTACATCGCTGCGATGTGCCCAATCGACTTCCGCCCGAAGGAAGGCAACCCGGCCACCGATCAAGCTGTAAGCCAGCTGCTGCGAATGTATGTGGTGCGAGTGGAGGAAAACCTCGCGCAGAAGGAGGCTCTTTTTGCAAAGAGCAGTCACGCAGGCGCCGTGAGTCCGAGGAAAAGGTTCATCAAGCCTGCCGTTCCAGAGCGCCAGTGGGCCTTGTGGAACAATGCTTTTGATGCATTCAGCCCCAGTGAGACTGGGACAGGACGTGTCTCCATATCGGGCCTTGTCCACCAACATGACATATGTCCTGCAGTTTGCGACTTCATGTGCAACATCATTGCGCGGGGCTCAACCGAGGCCCATGAGCCTGGGTTTTCCAAAGAAGTCTTTCTCCAAAAAATGCTTGAGCTCAGCTCTTGGCGAGTGAGGAAGGAAAATCTGAGCCAGGGTAGACTCTGTGCAGTGTAGGGCTTGCACAGTTTTTGCGAGTGTACCCGCATGTGTTTTTCACGGCAGAGAAGGGGATGGAGGCCAGGGCGGTTCAGGATGCATTACGGGGGGCATAGAAAATATATTGGAAGGTTTGTAGCCTATAGTAGAGTACACTCACATGCAACGTGTGGCCAGATCGCCTGGAGTGATCTCCTCATCTCCTCCCTGCTGTTCTGGAATTATTCTCCCACGGGGATGGCCCCAAAGCTGTTGACAGAGGCTTTATCAGCTTCTCCTCTCTCTGACCTAAGAAGAGGACCTGGGGCCCTGTCATGAAAGTGCCATCCGAAGCATTAGATGCTGCACTGGCACGGCGGCAGTACGCGGCAGTTGTCAATGTTCTACCTACTCCGTGTTGGGCATCTTAATTCGGAAGGTCACAAGGCTAACAGGCAGATCTACGCAAGAAGCAGAACTCACCTAAGCACGTCATCTACCTGCCACCTGCCTCGGTTGTCACGCGCGCGTCCGATATGAAGTCAGGGTGGCTCGACCTTTGCCTGATTTCTGCGGGCCAAAAGCCGTTTTGCTTAGCCGAATCTAGCCGGGAAGAGGGTGAGATAGCGCGTCATTCAGCATTTACAAGCTTGAGTTCTGGAACGTACACCCGGCGCTTTCGGTGCTCGAACCCAAAAAGGTTCACAAACTTGTAGCTGCAGATGGGGCGCCCTTTGCAAGACCCATGTACATTCGCCGAATGGCAGAGAAGAGAGTCTTGCAAGGGCTTTGTTTTCGGGACTGACAAATCTGATAGGAGGAGCTGAAAAAAGTTTGGATCGGATGCTTGATGTCTCTTATGCTATCATTTGCGGTGTTTGTGCTTGTGTGCTTTTGTGTGTTTTGTGTTTGAGCTTGTGTCTGCGTGTACCCGTGTGCTGGTGTCTGCATGTTTGGAGACTGCGCAGTCTTAACTGCCAAATAGGATCAAGTGTATGCTGGAGGTTGAGGCAACTCAAAGCATTTGTGCTGGCCTCAGCTGCAACGCTGTTTGAGGTGATGGTGGAGGGAATCTGGATGCTTTCCGCAACTTCATGTTCACAACTGCCTGTCCTGCCAGGCAGTCTTATCGGCCTCATGACGAGATAGCCTACTATAGTAGAGATTTCTGCAAGGCCCCCCAAATCTACCCCAGCAACTACTTAGTAAAGAGGAGGTCGTCTCAAAAGCAGCCGCATGCATATTCCAATTCAGTCCCTAACATGCCCGAGATCTGAGTAGACACTCAGCGCCCCAAGCGCCCCCTTGTGGGAGAAAGCTGTTGCCAATCTTCTACCTGACACGTCAAGGCGTGTAGTCGTGCGGGCGACCAGCTTTCTCTACATCGGACGGCTCCGAGTCGCAATGGCCAGACTGTGCAGTCGCCGATCCAAAACGGATTTGGCCGCCGTGGGGTAGCGGTGTTAGCGGTGGCTGCGACGTCCTTTCTTCCACCAAAGCGGACCAAAGCCAAAGCAGGCAATGCCGCACTGGGAGTTGCCTCTCAAATCCGAGCCACGGACTGGCATGCAAAACGTTCCAGAGACTTTGTAGAATCTTTGTAGAATCTCTTGGAGCGTTGGTAGAACGATGTGGGCGTTGCCATTCTGCGTATATTTTTTGGGGGAATCGGGATCGCTGAGAATGTTGAAGTTGGAAGCGCTTTGTCCACCTTGAACTTTAGGGCATTTTGTGCTGGAGACGCTAAGCTGGTGCAGGTCTTGCCTCTCAAGCTGCTTAGCGACATTCAGCCAGAAAAATTGGGGTGTGAAGCACTGCGAGTTTTCCTCGTCCGCAGAGGTCGCTTGCAATTGCCATTCTGCCGTTGTGTGAATTTCACGCTTTGTTTCTGTGCTTTCCCGGTCTTTACTCTTGTCGGGCAGCACAGTGCAGACATTGCTTCTGCACGAACAGATCAACATCCCCACTCACTGCTCCGAGTGTACTCAGTACTCTTTGCATATTGCCGGGCAGGATGTGTTCAGAGACTTCCCATAGTGACAAATGAGTCTCCTCGCAATCTTCTCGGTGTGTGTTTTGCTTGGTGCCATTGCTTGTTCGGCAGATTCTGCCTGCCCCTCGAGCTTAATCACGATGAATTTGGGATGGTTTGCACATGTTTGCACGGCGTCAAGGATGAACGGAATGATGCTTCTGCTTTGGGCGGCCATCACCGTCACGGAGCTCTAGCAGTTGCACAGCACAGTCTGAGTGAGGGGAGGGGGAAGCAATCGGCACTCGGGTGCTTGGTGTGGTTCAGGACGGCAGTCGCCCCTTGATGCAGTCAGACCAGGCCAACATCACGCAGGGTGAAGGACGGGCGTGCAATGCGATGTCTGCAATTCACCAGCCTTAGCTGCCAGTAGCTTTGCACTCATTAGGGTTCATGGTAGAGTCGTTGGTTCGTGGCCAGCAGGAACAGCCGTGAACGCCTCCGAGATGAATCACATCAAACAGATGCCTTCAACGTCTGCATCGACAGCTGTGGCCGCTGTGTTCCATGGGCTCGCTAATGTGCTTCATGCGGCGATCAGTCCTCTGGCTTACTGGGCCAGCATGGTGCTGGGCGTCTTCACCGTGGATGCTCTAGAGTACGTCTTCCCCGTCACGAGGCGTGTGCACCTCCTTCATAACTTCCCCGACATCCTTGCGCGGCGAGGCCAGCTACGTTTCTTGAAGAGAACCTTCTTGAAGAATGCATTGGCCAGGGCGTATAGGGTCCGAGTGGGGTATGGGGCTTAAGGTATAAAGCGCGAATCCTACGTCAATACCCACAAAAAGCTTTGTAAGATTATGTCTGGAGTGGGTGAGCTCTGCCAGGGCATCGATCGCCCACAGCATCCCATGCGAAGAACATCTGGCTAGCGGGGCTCTCCGGTGCTTTGGTGACACTCGTGCGGAGAGAAGACGCCAGAACTGGTAGTTGTCTGTATTGTCTATCATGCTCCACGTGCATTCTGTCGTAGTGAACCGACAGCCCCCAGGACGTGGTTCCCCGTGCTGCTGGAGCTGATTGTGCTCATGGTGGACCGGGCATTTCATGGCCGTTTGAGTACGATGATGCCACCTTGGACCTTTCTGGCCGTTGGGGTGTACTTCGGCTTGGGGATGTTGCTGGTGGTCTTTGTGAACCTCTACGGTATGGCATTGACCCTGGACCTCCAGCCCATCTCACAGGAAACCGGCCTCGTGTATGTGATGGTGCAGAAAGACGTCCCTTGTGGTCCATACAATAGCAACTGGCAGCTCGGCTCTGTTGCGATGGCACTGGGGCAGCATGTACTGTAGCTCTAGACTCCTCTAGACTTGGAGCACTTACCAGGTGCAAACATTCACGGGGCAGACCATGGGCCTTTTGATCTTTTTGATCGAAACCCCTGCACACCATCCCCGAACCATGCTCTTACCAAGCAAAGACACTCCCAAGACTTATAGCCTCACAGCTCGACAGGTTTTTTAATAGGTTTGAGGATGTACCTGTGTGTATTGCCAGGTTTGTGTACCTCGTTCACACGTACCTCTACGTCGCCGGCTTCTTGCTGTTCCAGGCGCTGCTGCTGGGATGATGCCAAAGTTTGGCACAGAGGCGCCGAGATGCGTTGAACACATATAAACCTACAGCATGTTTTCAAATTTGTTTCTCCCTCCTTGTCCCAAGGGATCTGAACGACGTTCTCAAAGGTACGCGGCTCGCATCCAACACAACAACACAATAGGGGACGGAAGAGGCATCGAGCAGGAGGGGAAGCGGCCAAGATGATGGAGGTGGAGACAGCACGGGTATGAGCTTGTGCACGCTGCACAGTACCTGTACAGATGCGCAGTGTCGCACCCAAACGATCCGAGAGCAGGTTGAAGGCCGGATGAGCCACCCAATTGCCAGCTTTTGCCAAGCAAGACCATGACCCACGTCGACCTTCGCAATTTTGCGAGGAGTGCGACACAAAACCGCGGTCCAATTCGACAGGAGGGTTGGCGAAGTCCACCTTGATGGTTCGTGTGACCACCCTCCTCCACCGCTATAGCAGCTAAACCTGGCAATCGTGTCAATGCTGTGTCATGAGCCGACTGCATCCTCTGCGTAGCAGAGCATGCAGCTAGCAGCAGATGTCGGCAGTGCAGACCGGAAAATTGATGAGCATCGTCGTTTCGGTTGGCTTGGTTAAACTGTTAAACTCACTCATGGCTCTGCCTAGGTGGCCAAGATCGCCATCAGCACTCGCTCCAGAGCCCGTGGCCTAGCATGATACGCCACATATTTCAGGGGAGAGATAGGGCCTTGGCATGACCGTCGCGGGATCCACAGGAATAGCTCTTCGATGCGCTCATTTTGCATACGCTGTGGACGATGCTTTTGTTTTGCTTGCCCAGCTGTGCAGAGTGCTCATGCCTCTGCTTGTTCAATCGCTTACTTTGCTTTCCTGAGGCTTGTGCGCCTCCTGCCAGGTGCCAGTGCGAGTCTGCTGCTACTGTTGCTGCTACTACTACTACTACTACTACTACTACTACTACTCCTCCTCCTCCTCCTCCTCCTCCTCCTCCTCCTCCTCCTCCTCCTGCTGCTGCTGCTGCTGCTGCTGCTGCTAAGTCTCTGATTCGTACCAGTACGAGCAGTAACCATGGACATGACTTTTATTGGCTACGCCAGCTACGCCTTACGTGCGAAACTGACCAAACCTAAGCCCCAAGCCTCGCAGCCGAGGCCTCCAAGTTCGGGCCTGGAGCTGAAAGCGGGCACGCCATTGACATTTGACGTGACACACAGCCCGATCATTTGCTTGGATTTCTGCTTCGTCGTCGTAGTCGTAGTCGTAGTCGTAGTCGTAGTCGTAGTCGTAGTCGTAGTCGTAGTCGTAGTCGTAGTCGTAGTCGTAGTAGTAGTAGTAGTAGTAGTAGTAGTAGTAGTAGTAGTAGTAGTAGTAGTAGTAGTAGTAGTAGTAGTAGTAGTAGTAGTACAGGCAGTGGTGAAAGTCGTACCCATTTTTTGTGTATGCTATCAATCACTCGGGGAAAGCTTTCTGAAAAGTCGTGCCCGCTTCCCTAAACGCCTAGGAAGTGCAAGGTTTTTCATGCAAACCGAACCATTGCTGGTTTAACATCTTGGAAACATCCAAACGCCAAGCAAGTGCAGTGTTTGGGCGTTGTCACTGAGGACGTAGTTTGAAGCATATCTTTGTTGCGCTTACATGGTGAACTGTTTCGCCCTTGGCACAGCAACTTGTTTGAATCCTTCATGCCACATCGATTTTGATCGGCATGTGGCTTCAAATCGAGCCCGAAGGTATCGTTCAACCCCATTTACACATCCAGGACAGGGTATCGTTCAACCAGACGCAAAAATATGTTTGCTCGGGCGTTTTTCAGGGGGGTCACAGGCGGGGGTCCAAGATCCATTTGGTACCCTTTCAACAAACCCCCTGACCCCCTTAAAACCCTCACCCCCTCAACAACATCCTAAACCTCTTCAAGCCTCCCTAGAACTCACCAAAACGTTGTTTTTTCATTGGCGTGAAGGCCTCGTCGAGCAGGCCCCAAACTTCTAAGCTCAATATATACATCTTTGGCGTAAGCGCTTACTTGGGGGAAGGGGCCTCGGGCATGACTTGTTGTGACTTCTGGAATCAAGCGCTTACTTGGGGAAAGGCCTCCCGGGCATGACCAAGGCATGACTTAGTCAGGTCCCTGTAGTAGTAGTAGTAGTAGCAGTAGTAGTAGTAGTAGTAGTAGCAGTAGTAGTAGTAGTAGCAGTAGAAGAAGTAGTAGGGTAGCGGTAACGGCAGTAGTAGCATCGTCAAGAGCCGACAGATCCAATCAACTAGTGCAGTAGCTCTCCAACGATGCAAAAATGCTGTGGTGACCAGGGCCTGTGATGGCGGTAGCGCTGGACGCCGGCAATGGTGAGGAGCCCTGTTGCACCTTTTTTTTGTCTTTGTCTTGCCGCAGATGCAGGAAGCCTCAGTAGCACGCTCGACTTACATTTTGCTTAATGCAGTAACCTTATGTACTGAGTTTCGGTCACCTCGTGGAGGACAGCTGTTCACTGTAACAACCCTGCCACTTTTGATGTCAAAGGCTCATGGAGGTGCGGAAGTGGTTTTCCTAATTGTGCAGCAGCTTCAAACACGTTGAATTGCGACAGGTTTTTTCCATCTTCTCAAACTGTAACAGCTCCAACAGTCCCAAGTCCAGGAGTAATACTTTAACTGCTATGGAGGTCGCAGCAAAGCAATGGGGGAGCCTCCCTCCAAGCGACCTCGCGTGCTTGCCGACCTGCTGAAGAGTCCAGATCCAGATTCAAATCGCCTGTTGAAGACTGGCCGCCAGAATGACAAGAATGGCTTGCCAGTCACTAGTGTCGCCAGTCTGGGCGATTCGCGGCCGAGGGAAGCACAAGAGACGAATTTGGAAGACGCCGTTATTGGTTGGCAAGCTGGTGACGAGGATCCGACACCAATCTTCCTTGTAAAGAAAGGTAAAAAGGAACTGTCCAAAGGAGAAGTATATGATACACAGAGCGAGGAGATCGGGAAAAAGTACCAGTACTCGCCAATCGCCAAAGCACATCGCCAAAGGTTTAATTGGGTCGCTCAGTCGGATGGTGACAAGTTCACTAGGGATGCCAGCAAGATGAAACCAGCCAAACGAACGGATGGGATGAGCGGCAGGTGGACATGTGACGTCTGCGGCAAGAGTAATTGCGGCAGCCTGTTCGTGTTCCGGGCTTTCCTCCGACAAGAGCACCTCCCAAGAAGCAGTCACAGAGGATCTCGGCGGCTGGATCCATTCGTGGCCTACATCTCCCAGCGATGTGGCCAAGGCCTCCTTGGCCAGCTGGCGGAGTACACTCGTGTCCAAGAAGAAATTTTTAGCCTTGCCACCCTCGACATCGAGATTGCACGAAATCACCTTGAAGAGTCCATGTGCTTCGTCTGCAGCTCATCATTTTCTATTCCATACTCGTTCGTCTGCGTGGTACTGCTTACATGACTTGTTGTTTAGAGTCGTTTTCCCCAAGAAGATTATGCGCCGTCCCGGCCTCCCGTCTTCCTGTCGCATTGCAGCGCGGTGTGTCGGGTCAGACATAGCGTAGTTTGGGCCTTCAAGCCCGGCAACTATGAGCTGCTCAAAATGACCCCTAAAAAACATAGACCCGGGCATTGCACCGGCCAGCAGGCACGAAGACACCGTGACGGTGAGCGAGTAGTGGATCCATACGAAAAGCTTAGACTGCCGTCACTGTGTGGCTGCATGAGTTGGGTAACTGGGTGTTTGCTGCAGAGGCTCTCCCGCGTCCCCTAAAAAGGCTTAAAACAACGCACAGCCTAGTTCGAGCATCCAGCTGTGGATTCGGCCACCCCACCGAAGCACCACTGCCAAGCAGTCAAGCCCATGATTTGAAAAAGTGGAACGCAGCAACACGCAACACGACAGATGACCTCAACAGAGAAATTCAGGCGTCAACATGCACTGACCGCCGCAGCCATCATGGTCCCAGACACTCCCCTGCACCATTTCTGCCCAGCGCATTTGCGCAGCCGCGCTCCCAATCCAGAGGTCAGTCGTTTCAAGTCACCACATACACCCTGTGGACACCGGGCCTCGCCAGCTTGCACGACGTCAGTACTGCAACATGATTGAAGCCAAGAATAGTTCTCGTCACAATGCTTCCGACCGGCTTGCGTCGCCATGCTAAATCAAAGTCAAAGGAGTTGTGCACAGATCGGCATACCCTCTCACTTTGTCAGCCTGTTGCAGCAAAGCAAACAGCAGTTGTTTCCCACGGTCTATCCATCCTGAGCTGTGACCTTGACAAGAATTATGCCATCATTTGTGACTATCATCTGTCTTATCGCACCCCAGTAAAAACATCGATAGTGTCTTGCCACTGGCGCATGTCACCTGGACCCTGAACTCCTAAAAACCTGCTTCTCGCATCAAAACGAAACAGAACCCTTTCAGTACAAATACAGAAGCAGAGTGCCGAGCACTGTCTCCAAAATAGTCTTCATTGTCATTGTCATTCCTCCACTTGCAGGTGCAGCTCCGCTTTCGACACCCTCTTATCATTTGGCCATATCTGGCAACAGCTCATCAAATACGGTCTCCACAATTCAGCCGCACCATGATGGTTTTCCAGGCTGCGTTCCGCATCGGATATCACGCACATCCATGCGTGCATGTTGACCCATGCCTCCCTTCCCAACGGGGTCAGACATAAGCCCTTGACAGTTCATAACAACCCTCAGCACACTTGGTTATAGGGCATTATTGGGGCAGCATAATTGGGTTGAAGCCTGCAACAAGTGTATCAGTGACTGTTACTTTAGCCAAGGCGCCAGAGCAGCCGCGAGAACCAGCAATTCCTGATCGGCGAACTGTCCCGCGTGGCTGGGGTCGGCGCCTCTGCTCCAAAGACAGTGGAGATGCTGGGATTGATGTTGGAGCGAGTGTTAAAGTTCTATGGGCCCGATAATCCTCTTCATCACCCTCTACATATGTATGTGTGTATATAGATTTATAGAGTTTTTTCCTATACTTGCATAGAAATGTTTAACTTTTCCCCGAGGGCCCACCCGACTTCCGCCCTGCAGGATGGATTCCGTGGAGCGCATGATGGGAGGCCGAGGAGGCCGGGTGCCCCTCCTGCGGAGCCCCGAGGACGTCTTCCGCGCCATGGCCCGGAGTTTGGGGCCGCGGGTGAATGCGCGGCTCCTGGCAGCTGCCGCTGTCTCAGCCTCAGGGGCCTCCGGAGCAGACTTCAAGGCTTTAGAGGGCTACCTTGGTGAAGCAGCTGAAAGCCTGCGGGCTGGTGGTCCCTTGCCAAGGGTTCCTGCGAAATGGCCTCTGTCGGAAGTGGTTGCTTGCGTTGAAGCCATCCTCCGAGCCGCCAACAGGACGGAACCACCCTACCTGCGAGTGGAATTGGCATGTTCCGGACACTCCGAGGTGAAGGTCTATGGTCCAAGCGAAGAGAACAAAATGAACAAAGCCATGACCATACGGCTGGGCTTCCTGCACTCCAAAGGGTCCTTGCATGCCTTCGCGCCCTCCAAGCCCCCAAAAGAAGAAGCGTTGCTCTTGCAGCAGCGCTTGGAGCAGGTTGCTGGGAACCCGGCACGTGTAGACGGAGCACCCGGAGCACCCGGAGCACCCGCAGCTCCCCAGCCCAGCGGCTCTCGTCCACGACATGCCGGTCGAGCTGAGAGTCTTGGCCCAGGTTGGCACAGCTGCGACTGGGCCAAGCAGCTCAAACGTTTGCTCGCTGCTGACTTCGATTTTTCCAAGCGACCTCTGCACCTTGCCACGGGCTGTTCAGGTGCCGAGGCACCGCACTTTGCACTGTGCCAGCTCGTTGGTCTCGAAGGCTTCGAACAACTTTTTGGTGCTGAGATCAACGACAACCCCCGACGATTCATGCTTAACAACTGCAGGTCTCAGCACACGTTCTATGACGTGCGAGATGTTACGAAAGGTTCGGGGATGTGTGCTCGTCATGGGTGCACATGTGATGTGCCACATGGGGAAATTGACATCTTCGTCGGTGGATTTCCCTGCACTCCCTTTTCCTTCTGCAACCCCAAGCGCTTTAAGCGCAACTGCTTCTCGGAGCCAGCAGCGGTGCCATTTTTCGAGATGCGGAAGTTTATTGCTGCTAGGCGGCCAAGGCTTGTGATTCTGGAGAATGTCAGAGGACTCCTGGCTCCAAACCCTGAGACAGAGGAGCGTCCTATTGACTTCATCCTGCGTGGCCGAAACCCTGAAGACTCAGCTCAGTGCTACCCGGGCACGCGCCCCAAAGACGACTGGGGCCTTGAGCTCATCAAAGGCTACGGGCTCCGCTGGGATATTTTGTACTCCTCAGATTGGGGCTTGCCACAGAAGCGCCCCCGGATTCTCGGCTTGGTTTCCAAAGCTTTAGATGGTATGGACCTTAGTCTGTAATTGCAAGATAGATTCATAGATGTAGTATAAAGGCCATACGTACCAATGGGAATTTGTCATCTTCCCAGTTCCTCCCCCCCCCTTCATATTTCCAAAAGTCCGTCCCAGGGTCTACATTGTCATGGTGCGCGATGATGTGGGTGGCCAAGAAGCTGCCGATCGCATCTTTGAAGTGCTCCGGACATGCGCAGGGCACTTGCCACCAGGTTCTTGCAACGATTTCCTGTATCCCGATGGACATCCCAGACTGGAGTCCGTGAAGCGTGCCGAAACTGCGAAAACAAGAGGTTCCCGCAAAGTCTGCACAAAATTCACGGAAGCGCTGTTCCGCACGACACGGCAGGACTTTGGCCTTGGAGCTTCTGACCGTCCGTACTCCAAGGAACGCCCTAGTGACTGGTTTCCACGGGCCACAGAGAAGATGGTGCAACAGCTGGACATCATCTATGAAAGAGCTCAGCACCAGGGCCTGGATTTAAGCTTCTTGTTGGCCGATCTTAGCCAGCAGGTGTCGCGTGGAGCTTGGAGGGATGATGGTTACGTCCCAACGCTGACCACTGCGAGCTTACTCTACAGCTACAGTCACCATCGGGCTCTTCTGGGCGAGGAGTGCCTGAAGCTGAATGGCTTCCCCGTGGATGAGCTCAACTTGGACGCTCACACGCAGCAGGACCTGCGCGCGCTTGCACATGTGAGGGCACTGGGCACATCACGTATGCGCGTGGGCGTGCGCACGAATGGGCGGGAGGGTGAGCCTGCAGGCTTGCAGGCCCGCGGGAGAGCGCATGCTGTTGCGTGCGCGGGCGAGTCTTCTGTTGATTCATGCACCTGTCGTTAACTCCATCCCCGGAATCATGTGACCTGAATACAACTGCACTGCTTGCAAATCCTGCTCCTATGTGCATATATATATATATATACATAAACATAGACATATACATATACATATATATATAGAGATACATATAGAGAGAGAGAAATGTAAAGAGAGGTTGGGATGTGTTCGCCAAACAGCTCAAAACTGAAACAGACTTGTGCTGCGACCTGCACTCACGGCATTCTCGGTGCAGCAAGCGCATTGACTTGGCTCCTGTCGTTGGAGTCATATAGTTCCTGTGATTGCAGTACCCCCTGATTGCGCGAGAAGCACTTGAAGATTTGATTCCCAGACTCTTTCCAGGAGCTCATTTTCTTGGCCGGCAATGCAATGTCGGTGCCGGTGATTGGCGCCGTCATTTTTGCAGGATTGGTGTCGGTCACATGGGGCGACAACAGAAGGGCAGCGAGAGCGGCGACGCTGCCGTGTGCTTTGGAGCAGGGCAAAGCACAGAGAAAGAACTTGGATGTGGGGAAACTTCCAGCCCCACCGTTTCCCACGTTTCCCACGTTTCCCACGTCGACGTTGGTGGATGACGACGGGCATTCGGAGAGCGCAGAGTCCGAGGAGTCCAAGCTGGCACGTCGGGCCGCCGTTCTCCTGCTCATGGCCAAGGAGTTCACGCAACAACCGAAGATCAATCGACAAGACCGAAAGCGGGGAAGAAGCACAAAGTCAGGGCTCGCGGCGGCAATGGAGGCTTCGGCGAACGAAAGCAGCGAGGAGGAGGAGGAGCACGTCTTTTGGGCTGCGCTAAGAAGGTTGGAACCCTTGATTTTACCGTCTACTTTCCCCAAATGGCAGGAATATTGGGAGTGATTAGGACACGGGCTGCGTGAGGCTGTGAACGTGCCTAAGCGGATGATTGTCGTCTCCCTTCAATTTTTCATCTGTCGCTTTGGTCTTCTCCTTTGTCTCCGATTCGTGGGACGAGCCTCTGGTGTTATCTCCATTCCTGCCTCCTTGTCTGTTACTGTTAGAGAACCAAAGCCGATTTGCGTCCTGCAGGTCGGAGCCTGCCTCTATGATTGCGTAAATTTGTACATAATTCACGGTTCCGCGGTTCTCTGACGACTGTTTGGGGTCGAAGCCCCGTCCACGTATTTCAGGTCGAGGCCGATGCTGACTGGGATTGGAGATGCAAGAAACTCCCGGTGGCAAAGGATCGTGATCTGTGTGCCTGGCTTCTAGGATTAGTTTGAGCATATTTCTCTCTAAGTATACATATCAGGCATTTGTCGTCGTAGTTTGAACTCCAGGGGCTGTTTTTCAGCTTTCGAACGTCCGTAGCCAAATCCTAGGCTTGGAGAGGCCACGCAGCTGTTGGCGCGCGAAGCGAACGTGGATGTGCAAGGGTTCGTGGTTAGATCCTTGCGGGGGCTGCAGGCAAAGCCGGACACAGCAATCACACAGCTGGCGCAGCAAGGGCTCCGCATCACCGTCGACCAGCTCCGCAAGCTGGGCTATGCAGAGGCTAAGCAGATCTGGGGCCGTCTCTTGGTGTCCGAGATGTTGGGGGCTTTGGAAAACGAGGACTTTGAGGAGAGTGGCTTAGGGGATTGGTGGCTGCTCCGGGCGAAGGAGCTCGAGGACTCGGAGCATTCGGAGCAGAGGGCCCGGCTCCTGGAGAAGCTGACAAAGAAACCTCACATGCTCTCGAGGCTCCTGGCACCACTGCCCCTCTTCGTCGCAAAGAACAAACAGAGGGGGTTTTCGGGGTTTTCGGAGCCATGTCATGTACAATCTGTACATGTAGTCGTTAGGGGCACGGGCTTTTTGACGTGTGTGGTTTTGTTTTTTTGTCTGAAAGGTGCTGTAGTTGTGAAGCAGTTGCCAAGGCTCGTCAAGTGGAGCAGCGCGAAAGGAGGATGCCGAAGCCGACGTGAACTCCAAGGGCTGAAGCAAGCCATCGAAGCTTTCCTTTGCGCGGATGTGAGCCTGGCAGCCGCTTCGAAACTCAGCAAGGCTTGCCTGGATATGGCCAAAGCGTGTGAGAGACAAAGCCAGCCCGAATCCTCACAAGCTTTTCGCAGTTGGGCCTTCAAGCTGCAAGATGCGGCTTTCACACGTCGCTTTGAGACAATACTGACAAGCGCGTTGCGGGAGTCTGAGTTTGAGCAGTTGGAGCAGACCTGCAGCGAAAACAAGGACTGGGCCCTCCTACGAACAGGAGCCGCCTGGCAGGTCTTCCGGCACCTGCAACGGCTTCAAAATGCCAACGAAGAGACCGTGGCGAACCTTGCTACAAACTTGACAGCGTTAAGGCCAGGCTCGCTAGCAACAGCTTTGGACAGGTTTCTGCGGCATAGCTATCCTTCGATGGCAGTCCGCGTGCATTTCGTGGAAGCCAGGACCGCGACGCCATCGTCCGTCAAACGAGATGCAGTCACTTCCGTCAATCAGCACTCTGCGAGGCTCTTTGAATCCGAGCTGAATCTCCTGCGTCGCATTGAGAACAATGTGACCCCATACTTGGATCAAACTTTGCAGTGGGCGCCTGTTTCGCAAGAGTGGAAGCAGGAGCTGGAGAGAAGAATTTCGGATTGGAGCAACTGCCTCAACGCGGTCATGACGAGTTCGGCGGCAGACATGCAACACCTCGCACAGGTTCACAGTCGGCTACTACAGCAGGCCGAGGGCGTCTTGCAAAGAGCTTGCGAGAAGCATGCTCTCATGCAAGATGTTGCTGGCAGACTACTTCTCTTCGAGCACGCCTTGGTTGCCCATCAGTGCCAGGATGCGTTGCGGAACACCGATGTTGTCGAGTCTGCTGTGAACTTGTTTATGGCCTGCTCTTCGCAACTCGAGCTTCAGCCTTACCTGACCGAGCTGCGGCGCAATGTGGGGCTTCTCCACATTGCCGTTGCTTTGCAAGGACAGGAGGTAGAGGATGCTGCACAGGCAGCAGCTTCTTGTAGTTTGGAGTTGCTGCCGGGATGGGGGAGAGTTGTTTCCCCAAGCGGGCTCAGCATCTTCCAATCTGGCAACGACTGGCGATGGTCCATACCGCTGGTGCTGCCATGTGCCCAGGAGCCCAGCAGCCACTCCACTGGCAGCGCTGCCGAACACAGGCTGTATTAAGAACTTTTTGAACAAACGTTTTTTGTGTTTTTTTCTTGCGGTTCCCTGTTTGACTTCTTTGTTGGGATTTGAAGAATTCGCTTTCGATGCCCGTTTCAGAGGTCGAGCCGTTGGTGTCAGAGCTGCTGGAGACTTTGCAAAACCAGAGCTTCGAAATCTTGGGCTTAGCAGATGTTTGGCTGCCGAAGGCAGGCAAGCTGCTGGGGCCCGAGCGCTCACTTCAGAGGGCCCAGGTGTTGGAAGCACTGGCTGGACACCCGAGGCGCCTCCAAAGGCTCCTAACACCGCTGCCACTTGGCGGGGAAAAGTGTGTAGTTCGGTGCTATTCTGATACTTTTTTTATATTTTAAGGGGCTGCGCCCATGGGCGGGCAGCGCAGGCAGAAGCGCGGGGCGAGCAGTTTCTAACCATTTTGAGGCCCCTAAACTCCCTTAAAATCTCTAAGCGTTAAGTTTCTAAGCATTTTCAGGCCCCTAAACTCCCTTCAAATCTCTAAGCGTTTGAGGCTCCTAGACTCCCTTAACGTTTCTAAGCACTTTATAAGGCCCCTAAACTCCCTTTTTCCTAGCCCCGACCTTAGACACATCGCTTATGCCCGCCCTTTGGGGGGCGTCATGCTCCTGATGCGCCCCCGGGGTCCCGCCCCGGGAGCCGCTGATGCTCCTGATGCGCGCCTGGGGGTCCCGGCCTGGACCCGCTGATGCTCATGATGCGCGCCCTCTGGGGGCCTCCGTGGCGACGCAAAAAACAACGAAAAAAAAACCGTTCACCGGCGGCACGCGGGGGTCGGCGGCACTGGCGTCCGGCCTAATTCTGCTTCGCAGAAGGCCAGAGGCCAGCAAGGCGATTCCCGGGACGACCCGGGCTAAAAGGTCCGCATTTGCTCGGTCCTTTGGGGACCTCGCGCTGCCCGATTTAATGGCTACCGCCAGTGCCGCCGACCCCCTCCAAGGGGGGCCAAGGCACTGTGGGCTCCGGCCGCGGATTATGTATATATATATATATATATATAGTCTTTCGCGTGGACAAGACCATGGTGGACAAATGGCCGCGGACTCAGTGGGATACCAACTCCATGTGCGACTATCATCAGCGGCAGTGCGTGCGCCGCATGTAGGGAGCGGCTGTGCGTGCGCCGCGTCAAGTTGTATGGCCTTATAAGTCCTCTAAATGTAGGGTATCAGTACACTTAACCCAAAATCTTGAACCCCTAAACCCGAAACCCTAAAACCTAAACTTAAACCCCACCTTAGGCCAACTCCGTCGACTTTGTGGACAAGGCCAAGCCCGCGCAGTGGGAGACACCCCAGAGGCCCCCCAGGGGTCCGGGGTTTTTGGGGCTTAGGGTTTTTGGGTAGCTTCCCATTCAAGCAGGATAGCCTTCAGCTGGGGCTTGGGGCTTACTGGGTGCGCGGTCTTGGAACGCGCGTGAACCCGCAGCCCATTTAAAGCCCCAAACCTCACAGTCCTCGAGAGGCCTCGAAACTATGCAGCACAGCCCTAGGCCCTGTAAACCGAGAAAACTCGCGTTCAATGCACTTAGGCGCCCTAGAGCTCGACACACCACACTTGCACAAGCCCTGAGGCTTAAAGCATCCAAGCCTTAAACTTTCCTTAAACCTCGAAAACGCGCAAAGCCTTGGAGCCCGAAAACCCTTTAGGGTTTAGGGTTTAGGGTCTAGGGGTGGCTCAGGACAAGGTTTAGGGTTTAGGCTAGGGTTTAGGGATTAGGGTTTAGGGTTTACGGTTTAGGGTTTAGGGTTTAGGATTTAGGGTTTAGGGTTTGGGGTTTGTGGGCAAGATGACAGACGAGGCCGAGATCGCAGGGAGTTCTTGGGTTATGCGAGGTTCCTGGGAGCGCGTGCTTTGCCCCGTCCAGATTTTGGAAGCGGGGGGGGGGACGGGGGTTCAAGAACAGCGGACTTCCAAGAAGCCAGGCTACACCCCCACTAAAACCCCGAAGCCTAAGCCCGAAACCGTTCATAATACCTACCCGATGCACGCGCGGCCTGTAAAGCCCAAACGCTCAAGCCTCGAAACTCAGAACCCTGAAAACCCTAAACCCTCAATTTCCCTTGACCCTATGTGTGTGAGTGAGCCAGATACCAGTCTTTCGGTCAGCCAATGTAGGTCAAGTGTCGGGGAAGTTGGCAGCCTACGAGGGTTCCGGGTGTTCAGAGTTCATAGTTTGTTTCACTTCTTTTTGCATTGTTCTCGCCATGGACGACGCCCAGTACCTGCCTATTTTGCAAGCCGCCGAGCAGGCATGGGGCGAAAACTGGCACCAAAATCTGGATTACACTTGGGTTTACCAGCAGTTGGGAATGGACAGAGGGCGGAGGATCAACGCGACTGCCCGGCGCTTGCACGACCGCCTCTGGTCCGATTTGAACGCCAAGTTTCCGGCCCCTGCGGAAGAAGAACCGCCTGCAGGAAAGAAGCGGAAGAAGGGCCAGCAGGGCGAAAAGACCGAGGTGAAGGTGCATGAAAAGTTCGCTGCGGTGCCTGCCCACAGACACCTGGGAGGCCGCTATGGCTTGGCTTCGGCTGTGCAGGATAAGAGCATGCAGGAGCCATGGGTCCATGGCCCTGCAGGTCGAGGGATGAAGAATGGGTGCGTGAGGGGTAAGGGGTAGGGAGCTGGGTCCATGAGGGGTAGGTCAAGGGGATGGAGAGTGGGAGCATGGGCCAGAGGAGAGTGGGCGGAGCTGGAAGGGCGGAGGGCGGAGCGGGCGGAGGGCCCGGGCATGCACTGGGGCCCTAATGTGACCAACACCAATGGGGCCATGAGCCATGGGTCCAGTGGGGGGGCGGGGTGCGTGGGTGGTGGGGGTGGGGGTTAGAAGTGTGGAAAGGGTGGGGTGTTGGGGGTGGGGGTTGGGGGTGGGGGTGGAGCCATGACGCCAGGAGCAAGGGGCCCATGACAAGCACGGGCGGCGTGCGTGCGGGGTGGGGGTGGGGGTTGCGGGTGGGGGTGGAGCAGCTCAAGGGATGAAGAATAGGACCAGGAGCCATGGGTCCATGAAAAGCATGGCGGGATGCGCGGGGGGCTTGGGCAAGGGGAATGTATGTGGAGCGGGAAGGGCGGATGGGCGGGGAGCGGGTGCGTGGGTGGTGGGGGTAAGGGCGGAGGGGAGCCGTGGGGCCAGAACCCATGGGTCCATGAGGGGCATGGGCGGCGGGGCAGGGTGCGTGAGGGGTGTGAGGGGTAAGGGGTAGGGAGCTGGGTCCATGAGGGGTAGGTCAAGGGGATGGACGGAGGGCGGAGCGGGCGGAGGGCCCGGGCATGCACTGGGGCCCTTTAAAGTCAGCTGAAAAGCCACGGGCCAGGAGCCATGGGTTCAGTGGGGGGCGGGGTGCGTGGGGGGTGGGGGTAGGGGTTGGAAGTGTGGGTGGGGGTTGGGGGTTGGGGGTGGCAGGATGCGTACGGTATGGGGGTGGGGGTTGGGGGTTGGGGTGGAGCAGGGGCCATAATAGGACCAGCGTTGGCAGCCATGCAGGTCGAGGGATGAAGAATGTGACCAACACCAATGGGGCCAGGAGCCATGGGTCCAGTGGGGGGGCGGGGTGCGTGGGTGGTGGGGGTGGGGGTTAGAAGTGTGGAAAGGGGGGTGTTGGGGGTGGGGGTTGGGGGTGGGGGTGGAGCCATGACGCCAGGAGCAAGGGGCCCATGACAAGCACGGGCGGCGGGGCAGGGTGCGTGCGGGGTGGGGGGGGGTTGCGGGTGGGGGTGGAGCAGCTCAAGGGATGAAGAATAGGACGGGCGGAGCGGGCGGAGGGCCCGGGCATGCACTGGGCCCTTTAAAGTCAGCTGAGAAGCCACACCCATGGACCGTGGACCATGAGCCAATGGGGCCAGGAGCCATGGGTTCTGGGCGTGGCAGGGTGCGTACGGTATGGGGGTGGGGGTTGGGGGTTGGGGTGGAGCAGGGGCCATATATAGGACCAGCATTGGCAGCCATGCAGGTCGAGGGATGAGAGTGGGAGCATGGGCCAGAGGGGGGTAGGCGGAGCTGGAAGGGCGGAGGGCGGAGCGGGCGGAGGGCCCGGGCTTGCACTGGGGCCCTGTAAAGTCAGCTGAGAAGCCACACCCATGGGCCGTGGACCATGAGCCAATGGGGCCAGGAGCCATGGGTTCAGTGGGGGGCGGGCCCATGACAAGCACAGGCGGCGGGGCAGGGGGTTGGGCGTGGCAGGGTGCGTACGGCATGGGGGTGGGGGTTGGGGGTTGGGGTGGAGCAGGGGCCATATATAGGACCAGCATTGGCAGCCATGCAGGTCGAGGGATGAGAGTGGGAGCATGGGCCAGAGGGGGGTAGGCGGAGCTGGAAGGGCGGAGGGCGGAGCGGGCGGAGTGCCCGGGCTTGCACTGGGGCCCTTTTTGTCAGCTGAGAAGCCACACCCATGGGCCGTGGACAGGAGCCATGGGTTCAGTGGGGGGCGGGCCCATGACAAGCACAGGCGGCGGGGCAGGGTGCGCGCGGGGTGGGGTGGGGGTTGCGGGTGGGGGTGGAGCATGGCGGGGTGGGGGGCTTGGGCAAGGGGAATGTATGCGGAGCGGGAAGGGCGGATGGGCGGGGAGCGGGTGCGTGGGTGGTGGGGGTAGGGGCGGAGGGGAGACATGGGGCCAGGAGCGGGTGGCAGGATGCGTACGGTATGGGGGTGGGGGTTGGGGGTTGGGGTGGAGCAGGGGCCATATATAGGACCAGCGTTGGCAGCCATGCAGGTCGAGTGAAGAATGTGACCAACACCAATGGGGCCAGGAGCCATGGGTCCAGTGGGGGGGCGGGGTGCGTGGGTGGTGGGGGTGGGGGTTGGAAGTGTGGAAAGTGTTGGGGGTGGGGGTTGGGGGTGGGGGTGGAGCCATGACGCCAGGAGCAAGGGGCCCATGACAAGCACGGGCGGCGGGGCAGGGTGCGTGCGGGGTGGGGGTGGGGGTTGCGGGTGGGGGTGGAGCAGCTCAAGGGATGAAGAATAGGACC